GGCCTCAGTGACGACGAAGGTAGCACGAGTTGCTTACCACAATGACGACTTAGGAGAAACCATGGCGACCTGGAGCAGTGACGTCGGCAGGGATACAGATCGGGCCAGAGGTGATACGGTGGTGCTCTCGTTTACTTGCGCAACAAGCAAGGTGCTTGCTCGGCGTGGATCTCTCAGACGAGCTCAACAGCGATCACACTCAAGAACCAGTGGTGATAAAGGTCGTCTTTGGAGCAACGTGGATCGATGGCGCGACAGAGGTGGCGTCGGTGAACGGAGACGGCGACTCCATTTCTTCGGGTACGTCTCTTTCTTTCCCTCTAACACCTCTCTCTCCTTTTTCTTACACGAGAAACTCTTCTCTCTTCTCCTTCACTTTTCCTTCTCTCTTTCTCACAAAGCTCTCAAGATTCCTCCTTCTTTCTTTTGCGAATAAAAATGCGGCTAGGTTTTCGTGGAGAGGGACGATGTGTACGTGTATGCCAAATATATATGCATTAAAATCTAGATAGGGAGGTCGATGTGAAATTGTGTATACCGTAAAACAACTCGGCGTGGATCTTCTACTGTTCTACATAAATGATATGTGTATACAGGAATTTTAAGTGATAGAGGGAAAGAAAGAGACGTACCCGGAAATCCAGGGTTTTATTTATTTCTAATAAATCAATCTATGTGACGTCTATATATTTTGTCGACAAGGAGAAATCTAGATAGGCTACAAATTAAAACCAAATAAAAAACAATTTGGTCCTTTAATGAATATCCAGCTCGTTACAAATTTATAAAATAAAATTTATGCCATCAAAAATAAAAATATTTTTTTAATTAAATTCGTACGCAAGTGAATTTCCTTTTTTTTTTGCTAGGAACTAGGGATTAAAGCCCCGCGCAAGCGCGGGTTGTTTGCGATAATTTTTCTGTTTGATTTTATTTATATTCATTGATTTGAAATTTTGAATTATGAAGATTATATGTTAACTTCCATGTTTTGGTTATATTTTGAGTTAACCCAACAATTAACACTAACAATATGATCAATTTTTTATTAAAATATTAACACCTTACTTCATCTCGAGTTTTCTATTTCTAAAATTTAATATGCATTTGACTCAACGTTAAAATTTGTAAACATGGTGTAGAATCGCAATTGCACTCAAAATATGATGAAAAACAAAAACATGTATAACTTCTTACATATATGCTTTGTTGTGGTAGCATATGACAATTGATTATTTTCTATTATGTTAGTTTTGTAAATATAAATTGTATTTTTGAAACAAACATGTCACCATTCTTAAAATTTTCATACTTTTCGTTGCAATGAAATTTAAATAATAACTCGACTTCTATTTTTTAATAAAACAAACTCTAACTCTAATTTTTTATTAGCTTTTTACTATGTTAAATAATTTATATTGTACCTTTTTTACTTGTAAGCACATTATAACATTTTTAAATAGGATAAATCCTTTGAGTTAAAACCTAACTATATACTATTTCAAGTTAAATATTTCTTTATTTCATCTCCATTTTATATTACAACTTTCTTTTAACTTTTAACATCAAGATATCACATACTTTATATTAATCAATTAAATTGTTTGTGTATTTTTCTTAGTTTTGTTTATGTGTAAAATAGGAATATATATAAAGAAATATTAATACACATATATTAAATATCTTAAATACAATTAATGATTTTTTTGCTGATGTGGATAGCCTAGGAGGAGAGAGCAACTCTCCTATTATATATAAGATTCTGTATATATGATATTGATGTTTATTTATTAAATATTTATACAAACAAAAAAATTGTGAGTGTTTTTTTATAAATGTTAGAAATAGTCAATATTTTAGTTTTTTTAACATCAAAATCAATTAGTTTTATATATAACTTATTTTTATTACTTAAATTTAACTGTTAGCTTTCAAAAGTTAAACATTTTCCATGAAATTTTATTACATATCTTTTTACATAATATATATTATTATGGATTTTAAACATTTTAAATTTTCAGTACATTTTTTTTCTTTTAAAAACAAATATATTGCATCTACTGTTAAAAGTTAACTTTTAATCTTTTAAATATTAAGTTCAGCCAATTTTTATTTATTTTTTCTTTTATATTTTTATTAATCATTTCTTTTTTTATACATTTTTATATTTTTGGTTGAATAATAAATCATTCAATGATATTATGAAAGTGTATGTATTAATTGAACCATTAATTTTGATTTAATTAATTTTTTTGCTGATGTGGACACTCTAAGAGGAGAGAGCAACTCCCTAATTATATATAAGATAACTTTAAAAGTATGCATTAGCAAAATATAATGATTTTTTTTCAATTTACTATGTTTTGCTTATAATTTACTTATGTTTTTCTTAACTTATGCTTATTTTTGTTAAGTTATTTTATGTTTGGTTAAATAACTTTTTCTAATAGTAATAGTGTATGTTATAATTTTAATTAAGAAAATATAAGTAACTTCATTAGGAATAAAATTAATTTGTATTTTTTGAAAGTATTTGAGGTAGAGTTATTATAATTATATAAAACTGAAGAAATTCGACATTTTATTTTCATATTACCTACTTGATCAAATATTATCCAACTTTGCCCCAAATATTTTCAAATATTACTTCAAGAATGAATTTTGATTATTTATATCAACTTACCCCAAATAAAGACGCGAATAGTCTTACATCCGGATGTACTTCCAAGGGAGAAGTTTCTCTCCCAGATTAACGTGATTATAGCCGCCTCCATCACGCCCATGATGCTCATGATCGCCAGAGTTGTAAGTCTTCCCGGATATAAATCCTATGTCTTCAAGTTTTTGGAGATGGAGATTCAAAATGCCAAACTTCATGTAGTGGTTTCACATGTATAGCATTTATTTCCATGCCGGATAAACTTGGTAACAGGCCGGCCTGTTTGAATTGGAACGAATCATATCTCTTCGATGTCAAAACTTACGCCGAAGACCAATGCGGTAATGTTTTTTTCTTTTACATAGATCAATCTATTTACTTTTCATCAATCTTTTCTTCCATTTATTTGTTTCCTTCTTGACGAATTTCACATAGATCTAAAAAACAGATCGATCTATTTACATTAAATATTATCAATAAATAAATAAATCAGTACGGCCAAATGCCCTGGGGCCATACTAATATGGAATTAGTGTCAATTTGAATGATTGGACTCTGACACCACCAATTACACTATTGGACATGAGGTATACTTGAAGTATACCATTTTACAAAGTTTAATCAATATTGAACCGATTTTTCCAGGTTCACTTGGTTCTGACTTTCTAAAACTATTTAAAGTTCTTTCTTAGATTTGATATGCTTAGATATTTTTTTGGATTAAATAATCCACGGTTGAACCTGGTTTGGGCCAGATAAATACAAAGTTAACAAGTATGAATAAAATCAAATGAAGTAACATACATATAAAGAGAATAACTTAAACAGTATACAATAGCAAAATATAATTATTTTTGTCATTTTTATTATGTTTTGTTTATTATTTACATATGTTGTGCTTATATTATGCTTATTTTTGTTAATTTATTTGTCTTCGTATTTGTTTTCTCTAATAGTAATAATGTATGATAGAGTTTTAATTAAGAAAATGTAAGTAGATTTATTATATGAATTTGTTGTTTTGAAAATATTTGACATATAGTTATTATAATTATATAAAGCTGAAGATATTTGACATTATATTTTAATATTACGTAGTTAATCAAATATTATCCAAATTAATATTTCTCAAACTTCTCAGATTTGTTATTATGTCATAAAAATTATGATTTTTGTGGAATTAATGCTATTCTGATTCATTGACGTCACAATGTATGTGCTTGAAAGGATTAAGGAAGATGAACAACTTTCACCAAGTGCCTATAGTCAACTTGAGGAAATCAAACCCAACTTGTGTTGGTAATGACTTTATTAGGGTAACTAATGCATTGTTCCCTGACCTAAATATACTTTTCTGGTTCACAGAGATGGAGTTTCAGAATGCCAAAAATCATGTAGGCTTTAATGGTGACCATGAGAATGTTGGGGAACAAAAAAAATACATCATTTACAAGTAATATTTATTCCCCCTCATTCTTTCTCATTTACAAAGAAAATAAAAATAAAAAAAACAAAGGCACATCCCCTAATAGGCATGAGTTTATAAACGAATAATTTATTTTATTAGTAGCAATTAATTCGTTCATAATACTGTATTTGTTTGATTTTTTAATTTTATTTTCAAAAGACGATAATAGTTGCTTGAATACAAATTAGAAAAAAAAAATCAATAATATACTATAATAAAAGAAGAAGCATAGTAATGTAACAAAAGGGGAGTTTTTTTAATATAATTTAGAAATGGTGAATAGCACATATTACAGACACATACAAATTTTTTTTTTTGAAACAACAGACACATACAACATTAACGACAAACACCGAAAAGACAAAAGAAGACACTCAAACACCCATAACACAAAGAAGACACTAGTTACCATTTAAAAAAAAAAACATCACAACAAAATAAAACATTTTACCAAACCTTCTCTTCCATTATTGACTCTCTTTTCCCCATTGATATAAGTCAAACATTTGTAAATCTTTGTTTCCATCTTCCCTTATTCTCTTGACATAACTTGTTCATAATTAAACACCTAAAATATAATACAAAAAAAAAAAAAAATCACATCAGCAAATAAGTATAGAAATATAAAAATTAGTTGGAGAACTAAATATTTGTTTTGATATGGTATGTCATAATGTATTAAAAATCAACGTTCTTAAAGGTGATTCACCTTCAGAAGAATCGTTTGCTGACTTCATTTTCTTAACCTCCTCTTTTGAACATAAAATTAGTTTCTTCACCATGTTGCAGAACTCACTACACAAAAACTTGAAGTCAAATACACATTTCCAAACTTTAGCTAGTCATTAGGGGAAAGAATAAGAGAAGGGAAATTTACGGCCATGGATCCTCCCCGACGAGCATCATATCTCCTTCATTGTCTATATAGACTATTTCCCATAAATGACCGGCACACAGCTGGCCTTTGAGATCAAAGATTTTGTCCAATTCTTTCATCAACTCATTGTATCCATCAAGAACAGTTAAGTCCATCGCTCTGCATAGACGTAGACCATGCATCTGCACCTGTTAAATAAACACAATATAAAGATCATGTAAACCGAACATAGCATTTGGTAAATGTATGAAATTTCGTATTAAATTATAAACAATATATAAATTTCTAAAAAATATAAATGTAAATTAAGTTCTAAATCGGGTGTATGTATATAGTAAAATACTATAAGACATTACTATAAAATGCTTTTCCTTACCTTGGTACGACTTCGGAATAATTAATTTGTTTGGTTTGGACCTCCTTTGATGAAGCTATAGTTTGGTTCTGTTCATGCTTTTTTTCTTCAGAGAGTTTGAGAATCTCAGATTTTTGGTATGAGTCAATTTCTCCCAAGAGATCTCTGGTCTTCAAGGGAGTCGTCAAATTGACTCCAAACAATCTACAACTAGTGGTTAAATCAGGGCTAAATTTTCTTTCACTGATATAATCATTTGGTCGTTGTAGTTTGGTTTATGCATGGTTGGGACCTCGCAGCTGCTCATTAGCCAACCAGAAGGAATCTTTGGATCTTCAGTTGAGTTATCATAACTAAGCTGAGCAACACTTATTGGGTAGCTCTTACTCGATTGTCCAATTTCTTGGCCTTGAGTTAATGTAGGAGTCCATAGATTCAACGATGTTGAACCTATAAATAGAATTATAATAAAATTTTTTTATAAGGAAGTTTAGAATTATAATATGAAAGATTTCATAAGCTTTAACTCATTTAACAAAAGATTATGATGTTTATACCAATTTCATTATCTTGACGGGGACGTTTGTTTTTTAGCAAAGCTGATTGGAAAACACTTGTTGAAGGCAATAAATCCTCGATTTCCCAAGGTGAAATCTTGTTAGATCTTGGAATTACGGCTTGTTCTTCCCATTGTACCTAGTAAAACAGAGTTGGTGATTGTTATTTATTATGATTGGAAAATGTAAAAAAAATGTAGAGATAGGAGAATTTTACTTCAACTGATCGCCATTTTGAATCATTCCAATTAGGGGAGTAATCTTTGACATCCTTAATTGTCCCAAAGCATCTTTTATAATAACAATAATAAAAATTTTTAGATAACAAACCAAAAGAAAAGAAGAACAAAAAGAAAATATGTTCATATGGTTTACCTTCTTTCAATTAAATCTTCACCCTCAAAACGCATTTTAAATCTCGAGCCAACATTGACCTTATTGTTCACAGCATCTAGATATTTTTCGTAGCTGATGACAAATTGGCTTGACCTAATATCATATCAAGATCCATAATAGTAAGCACAATGATTGAAGAAACTACTTCCATGTTATATCAATAAATAACAAAATGTTTTTATTTACCTTGGTTTATAGACCACAGTGAACATACAAGGGGAATTAATAGCATTCTTTGCAGTAGAAATTATTCCATGGTACATAGTATCTATTGAAACTGTTGATGAAGCTATGTTGTTTTGTTTATGCACAGCTCTTCTGATACCAACTCGTAGTTCCCCATTCTCTCCTCTAAAAAAAAAAGTTTAAGTTGTAATCTAGTAAAAAAAAAAGAGAGAAGTAAAACCATTAAATTTACCGAAGAAATACAACAGCGTCTCCGGCGACTAATTTTTTTGCATTAACGAACATTCCAGCCGGTAAAAATGTCTTTGGGGTGTGCCTGCATGAGATTGTTTCCATACAAATAGAAGACCAAATATTAGTAAACACATACGCATAGTATCATTTTCATTATTATTATTTTTTAATACTGATCAGATAATTGATTCATTGCCTCTAAAAATATGTTTGAATTTCCATTCATAACCATTGAGATCTTTAGCGACTAGCTCTTGAGTCGGTGTTGATTGTGACATATCCTAAAAAAAGAAATAAATCAATAAAAGTCATATGGAAGCTTGAAAAATGAAATATGAGTTTATTCGATTAAAAACAAAGTGCATATACCAGCGGAGGAAGACAATCAGTTGCATGTCTTCTCAGCACAGATAATCCACTATGTCCGTTTGTATCTGATGTAGTTAAGACCTTTGTGAAAGAACGAACTACTGGCAATCGACGGTTGACATTATTGGGAATAGGAATTGCAGTTTTCTAGATATTGCAAATTAAAAAAAAAATCATTTAAAAGGGATTAAAAAATGTGCAAGTAATTAAAAATAAATTTTGAATTTTGTCATCACCATGGAGTCCGGCATCAAAGTAATCTTAGTGTATACTTCATCAGTATCTTTTTCCACCTAAAAATCAGCAACAATATAATCAAATATTATATGCAGTCTAAGCGAATGTAGCTCATCTATGTAATGGGTCATTACCTCAAGCTGATAACCACTAACACGACATGGAACCTTCGACGGAAGATCACCATTAAATTGCCTCAAATGATTCATATTTTGGTTTGTAGACGCTTCTAACTAAAATGCCATTAAATTGCACAATGTTATTTCACAAACAAAATATAATTTTAAGAGAAAATTAAAATCAGAAGATATAGAGATTGAACCCTCACTTGCTCTAATTGTCCTTGAGGAAAGTAATAAACTTTTTCTCCAGTTTTTACGAGATCACCCGAAAGTCCAGCACTTGATTTCCATGTTTCCTCGTACAAATAGCTCTTTGAGGTATCAACTGCTTAGTAAAAAGAGAAAAAAAACATTATCACATAGAAATGTTTCTGAAAAATAAAGAAAGTCAATAAATTGTTTTCTTACTTATGCCTAAGATTTCAGGATATGCGTTAGCAACTTCATTAGTCGCCATTTTCTTATACAAGATGTTAACGGAATAAAGCCACCAAATATTTGCTATGTGATTGATCAAGCCCGCTTAACTCACTCCTAACTTTTTCTCTTTAAGCCACGAGAACACAAAGTTGTGTGGCTACAAGAACAAAAAAACAAGAATAAACTTCTTCGCTTACATTAAAAAACATGTATAAATTAAGAGAAAATCACCTAATATAACCTCTTTTTTATAAGAAATAGCTATAATAACCTATTTATATTTTTATTACTCATATAACCTATTAATCATTTAAGCAGTGATGTATAATTCCAGTTTTATCCTTTTAACTATAATTATTTCTTTAATTTCGTTTTTGTAAATTACACATAACTATTCATTTAATTTGAACAATAACAAATTAGTTTTAGTTAATAAATAAATAAAAGAAAAATAAAATAAGAAATAAATAACTTTTAATTTCAAATCAATTGATTATTTTTATTTTATCAAATTTCATGGCAATGTATATTTGGTCTAACAGCAATTTTTTTTGTCGAACTCAATTTTTTCATTTATGGTATTTATCATTGAAATTGATTCTCTATCCATTCTACTTCTTTTCATTTTTGTTTCTTTTGCACATTTATAAAATGTTTGACTATATGAGATTTCAGTTTGTAACTTTTTCTGAATTTTGCGAGAAAATATTTCATCAACTAAAATCCAATATTAACAAAACAACACAGAAAAATATCATATTAGAAGATTAAAATTCAATTATAGTGATAATTTTAGAAGACTATGGTGTAGTTTGCCAAAACTCATAGTCTTAAAAAATATGTAAAATCTATCAAAAATATATTGAATATGCTAATAAAATAGCAAACTAACAGTGTAAAATTCAAGTCTATCAAAAATATGTAGTATTCATAAAAAAATTAGAAGATTAGCATATTGAAATTTGAATATGCTAGTAAATTTGAAAGACTTTGATGTAATCTGCCAAATCTCAACAATGTCTACAAAAAATTATGCAGAGTCTACCAAATACATGTTGAGTCTGCTAATTAAATAGCAGATTAGCAGAGTAAAAGTCAAATTTACCAAAAATATGCAGAATCCACCAAAAAGTAGAAGATTCGCAGATTAAAATCCAAGTCTGCTAATATATTTGGAAGACTTTAATGTAATTTGTCAAAACTCGACAAAGTCTACAAAGAATATGTAGAGTCTGCCAATAAAATAGCAGACTAGCAAAGTAAAATTTAAGTCTACCAAAAATACGCATAATCCACCAAAAAAATGGAAGACTAGCAGTTTAAAATTCAAGTCTGCGAGTAAATTTGGAAGACTTTGACGTAGTCTGCCAAAACCTCAACAAAGTCTACAAAGAATACGTAGAGTCTGCCAATAAAATAGTAGACTAGCAAAGTAAAATTTAAATCTACCAAAAATATGCAGAATCCACCAAAAAAATGGAAGACTAGCAGTTTAAAATTCAAGTCTGCCAGTAAATTTGGAAGACTTTGACGTAGTCTGCCAAAACCTCAACAAAGTCTACAAAGAATACGTAGAGTCTGCCAATAAAATAGTAGACTAGCAAAGTAAAATTTAAATCTACCAAAAATACGCAGAATCCACCAAAAAAATGGAAGACTAGCAATTTAAAATCCGAGTCTGCTAGTAAATTTTGGAAGACTTTGGTATACTCTACCAAACCTTGACAGAGTCTACAAAAAAGACGCAGAATCTACCAAAAATATGTAGTGTCTGCTAACAAAATAACAGATTAGCAGACTGAAATTTAAATCTACTAAAAATATGCAGAATCCACAAAAAAATGGAAGATCAGCAGAATAAAATCCGAGTCTGCTAGTAAATTTGGAAGATTTTGGTATAGTTTGTCAAAGCTTTGACAGAGTCTACGAAAAAATATATAGAGTCTACCAAAAATACGTTGAGTCTGCCAAAAAAATAGCAGACTAGCAAAAGAAAATCCGAGTCTGCGAGTAAGTTTGGAAGACTTTAAAAGGATAATTGTGTAAAATTTTTTTATAAAATCTTCAAAATTCTTGATAGGCTATTTTGGCTATTTACAATATTTTGTGGGTTATTATAGCAAATCACCCATAAATTAATTTAAATCTAGATTTTATGAACTCGAAGGTAATAAGGAATCGTGACTATTGATTGTAAAAGCTAATTATCTTATACTCCCTCTGTTTCATTATATAAGGGGTTTTAGTTTTTGCACAAATATTAAGAGTCCATTTAATTTTTGTACTTTTTACAATAAAATATATTTGCTCTTCAATTTCAAAACATTCCAACCAATGAAAAAGTATTCTGCACAATATAAATAATCAAAAGTAACAAAAGTACATTTAATTTTGCACAAAAATTTGAAAACCCCTTATATTATGAAATAAAAGAAAAACTCCAAAACCCCTTATATTGTGGAACAGAGGGAGTATATAATTAGAGAGTTCTCTCTCCATTTAGGCTATCCACATCAGCACAAAAACATTAAATTATATTTAAAATATTTATTAAATATATGTCTATTCATATTTCTTTAAATATATTTCTATTTTATACCATAAAGAAAGTAAAAAAAATACACAAACAAAAAAATAATTAATATAAAGTATGATAACTTGATAATAAAAGATAAAAGAAAGTTGTAATATAAAATGGAGATGCCTCTTATAAATATATAACTTAGAAATAGTATATATTGCACATTTTATTCAAAGGATTTATCCTAACTAAAAATGCTATAATT